AGAAGTGGGGGTGGTTGAAAGGGAGGAAAGGAGGAGCTGGGAATGCTCCGCATCGCAACGTCGCTATCGGGGATCTACTGAAACCGACTACTGCTGTTGTGTGTCTGACGGCGCTCTCTGGTGTATGTGGGGGGGGGGGGGCGTGGGTGCAAATAGGGGACGCGAAACGGGCGCCAGAAAGAAGAGCTAGGGGCGTCCCGTGCCTGCCCGGCCCGCAGATAAAGCTGCTGCAAGAATGGAGCAGGGGGGGGGAAAGGGAGGGAGCGGGGAGGAACCGAGCAGAGAGAGAGAGGACTTCAAACGGAAATGTGTAGGAGCGCGGCGGCGGCGTGCGGCGCGGGACAGATGCTGCTAACAGATAGGTAGCCCCCCCCCCCCCAACAGCCACACGATAAGGCGATGTGGAATTCCCTCCCCATGCCTGGCCGGGCACGCCGGCAGAGGGCTTCCCCTACGATCGACCACAATGGCGATATTGCAGTTTGCGGGCAGAAAAGCGGTCCATTGGTGGTCGTCGGGGCGGAGTGGGGCGGGGGCGAGTAGCCTGGCCCTGGCCTCAGAGAGAGAGAGAGAGAGAGAGAGAGAGAGAGAGAGAGAGAAGGCGAGAGGCCCGAGGCGGAATCTGATGGCAAGCGATATGGAACGGCTGGGCTGCTGCGGCTCGATGGCCGCGCTGGATGGATGTATTAATCTCGGACCGTTTTCGCCCGATTGCCACGACGGGCGAGCCGAGCGGAGCCGAGAGCAAGCAGACCGAAAATCAATCAATCCGTCGCACTCCTTCCTTGCGATTTTCTTCTTTTACCCGAACGCGAAGTGGAGCGAGCGACCGATAGCGCAGATATGTGACGCAAATCGAAGGGAATCAGGTGGTTCCAAGGCTCGTTCAAAGATTTTCGATTGCAACTGAATTTTCTCTTCCGTAGAGAGAACTAGAAGGTTTTTCAGTTTATTTTTCATAAAAGGCTTTCAGTGCTCTCTCCCCCTTACCATTCCACGCCGCTCTCCTCCTGCCCGCGCGACACGCATCCCGGCTCTACTTTAAATAACAATAGGCGACTCTCCGGGGAGCGCGGCGGGGCCGCGAGGGCGGCCGTGCGAGGCGTGGCTGGGCGCGCCCCTCGTGGAGCCCCTCGTGGAGCCCGCCATGCCCCTCGGGGGCGCGGCGCGTGCGGCGGGGGCCCCGCCCAGTGCCACTGCTCTCTGGGTGGTGGGACTTTGTTATTGTTGCCTCGCACGGACTTTGACCCCGGGGCCGCATGTACTACTACAGCTCGTCCGGCTCGAGCTATAGCTGCGGCCCGTCGTGTGCTCTGCTTGAGGTCGATGCGAGCCGCTTAAGCTCCACATGGTGCGGGGGTGGGGTGGGGTGGTTGTATCGGGTGATGAGTGGGACGACTTTCCGAATGACAGCAGATAAGCGCGCGTTTCGTTTACCGACCGCGGGCGATGCCCCTCCCCGCGTACAGCTCCGCTCAGAACAACCCCACCCCGCCGCACCGCACCGGTTCTCCATCTCTTTTCTTCTCTCTTCACGGAGGTGAAGCCTTGCGGGGTTGGAGGGAGGGAGGGAGGGAGGGAGAGAGAGAGAGAGAGAGAGAGAGAGAGAGAGAGAGAGAGGCTAGAGCAAGATAAACAGGCTTGTTTGCACGTGCCAATTAGCTGGTGCGTGTCGGCGCAGG